AATTAAAAAATGGGGCGGGGCCTGCCACTGTGTTCAGTCTAGGAGTGGCAGCTTCAACAGGGAATAGGAGACCCCTTTGTGGCTTCTGGTTTTGGGAGCCAAAAATCCCAATGGCAGGGTAGTGGCCAGAAATGAAGAAGATGCTGTGAGCGGGGTCTGATGGCCGGGGTTGAGGGGAGAAGGAAAAGTCAGGCGATGTGGAAGAGGAAAAATTCAAGAGTAAACGGGGCTCTCTTTGTGTTTTGGCCAGAGAGCTCAGAAGAGAAAATGAGTTGGGGCCTTCTGTTGGCTGAGAGAGGGGAGAAGGTCGGTGTGGCTTTTTGGGAGAGTCCCACGGAGGAAGGAGAGCTTTGGTTTTTTCAAAGGAAGGGGCGGCCGACTTGGTTTCAGAGGGTGGCATCTGCAGGAGAAAGGGTTTTAGGTTTAGGCTTTCTTTTTTTTACTCTCCCTTCTTTTCTTTTCTTTTTTTCTATAGCCTAGTATTTATAGGGAAGTGTTATTTATAGGGGAAGTGTGGCTTGGCCACAGGTCCCTCAATTTTTTTTTTTAATTTTAATTGTTTTATATTTTTATATTTTTTGTATTTTTTTATTTTTTTAAAAATCGAGTAATATTAACGTCGACTCAACATAAAAAATCAGTAATTGTAAAATTAATAATTTAAAAGTTGAACGCGTTTAAAATACCTTTGAAAATTTAAATTCTTCTAAGATGACGTTGAAAATACTAAAAATGATGCAAATATATCAAAATACACCTTTTTTTGGGTTTTTTTTGTTATTTTTTGTTTTTTCTGAAAATTTATCAAAAATATAATAAAAAATTAGATAGCAACAAATGTCCCCTCTTTACAATGTTTACAAAGTAAAAATTCCTTAATGTTTTACATCGTAAGCTTGTAAAGAAAACAAATGGTCTTCCTGGCTTACCGAGTGATTCACTCAGCCAATGACTTTGGTTTTTTAAAAGAAAATGGTCTCATTATCTTGGGTGACTTGTCCCTTTTGAAGAAAATTGGTCTATTTTCATGGGCGACCTGTCTACACTCTCAAACTGGTCTATTTTTATGGGCGACTTGCGCACACATACTCATTGTGGTATGTTTTCAGGGGCGGCCAGCCTACACACACTTACCTGATCTATTTTCACGGGCGACCTGCACTTTTGCTTAGGTTAACCTAAGATCCAATCTGATAATCTTCTTTAACCAGAACCAAAATCGATGTGTAGCTTGGTCAACCTGAAATCCCATTTAGCGATTCGCTTTAACCAAAGCTAAATTCTATGTGTGGTTGGGCTAACCTGAGATCTCATCTAACGATCTCCTTTAACCAGAATAAAAATTCAGTGTATAGTTCGGTCAACCTGAAATCTCATCTAGCATTCCCTTTAACCAAAACTAAACTTTTTATGTGGTTGGGTTAGCCTGAGATCCCATCTAGTGATCTCCTTTAACCAGAACCAATACAAAGATATATGTATGGTGTCATTATAATGGGTGACCTATCCAGAAAAGTGATGGTCTCATTGTGATGGGTGACCTACCTAAGTGGAAAAAATGATGGTCTCATTGTGATGGGTGACATACCTAAAAAAATGATGGTCTCATTATGATAGGTGACCTGCCCAAATGAAAGATGAAAGGTGGTCTCATTGTTATGGGTGACTGACACGACTAAAAGATTGTTGTCTTCTCCCAAGTGTAGGAGTGTCGAAGTAATAAATAACCCAGCAAGATCGGAGTCGAACCACAAGGAGGTTAATTGTACAAATTATAAACAACAACAATAGTAGCAATAACAACAACAACAATAATAGTAGCAATAACAATACTAATAATACTACTAGTAGTAGTAGTAGTAGTAGTAGTAGTAGTACTAGTAGTAATAGTAATAATAATAATAATAATAACAACAACAACAACAACAATAACAATTATAATAATAATAATAATAATAATAATAATAATAATAAAGAAGAAGAAGAAGAAGAAGATGAGAACTTTGAGATGGAATATTAACGTAAGGATTAAACAATGATAATAACAAATGTCAAGGTTAGAGGTTCCACTAATGGTATGTCAAACAAGTATAGTATAAACTCTTATTACTTAATTGGAAACCACACACAAAGTAGGTTCCAATCTGATTATAGATTGTTAACATGATTACATTAGTCATCTTATTTGATTAATGCTAATACTTGTAAATCTCGTCAAGCATTCATGATTATAACTTATGTTAACAACAAATCAAGTTCCTTTCATAGCTTAGGTATCGGTTATACCATGCAGTATGGGCTATAAAAGGACCAAGCATTTGTTGTACCAAGTGTTATACAACATAAATCAAGATTAGTCATTTAACAAGCAAAGTATTAAAGAGTGAATAAGATAACAAATACAAAACATGTTAGTATCAAACAGTAAAGTCCATATTGAGTTTACATTATACTTATTCTTACATCATTAGTGTAACTTTTTCACCTTGACATAATAAACTTAGCTAGACATAATGAAAGAAAGAAAAATAGATAAACAAAATAATAACATAAATAAGATAAAAGTTAACTAAGTAAAGGAAAGGAAATGAAAGGCATAAACTTGATATTAATGAAAACAAAGCATAAACATTATAAAAAATATAAAGAGAGAAAGCAAGAGCATGATCTTGATCTAGACACCAAGATGCCTAAATGCATGGCAAATACCTTCTTTTATAGGCCAAAAGTAGGAACTATTGATTTGATGACTAATTGATGAGTAGCTGGCAACCTCTTGACTTGGTAACAATCCTTATCTTCTTTTATCTGCCCAAAACGTCATTGATAATGTCAAAATTGGAACCACTTGAAAACATGAAAGTTGTAGAAAATTATCTCAGCTTTCTTTTGTAAAAACTTCAGATCATTTCAACTTCTAGAACTCTAGATATGGCCAAAATACTGATCAGTGCTCGGGCTGGAGGACAGATTCAGACTTCTTTGTTGTTGCTCCAATTTGAACTTGAAAATGGCCTTTTTAGATCTTGGGCTCCATATGAAAGTTATAGGCCTATGTCTTACCTTTCCATCCATATAAAGTAGAACTAAATTTGAGATCTACAGCTCTAGATATAATCCAATTACCGAACAGTGTTTCAGTTTGGATTGCACCAACATCTCTTTTCTAAGTTTGGCCATCTCTTTGTCCTTCCAATTTCAGTTCTTAAATTCATCAATCAATCCTTTCATTTATGTGATAGGCCTGCATTTAAAATGAACATTTACCATAAATTAAAGGTATCTTATATTATTAGATATATTATTATAAAACATGCTTTAGTTAAGGAATTATTGATACTTCAAGTGCAAAATGATGATATAAAACCTTGATAAAAATACACTTTTAAGTATCAATCAGTGACCTACCTATATGGAAGATGATGGTCTCATTATGATGGGTAACCTACCCAGATGGAAGATGATGGTCTTATTATCATGAGTGACCTACCCAGAAAAAAAAAAAAATGGTCTCATTATGATGAGGGACTTACCCAAATGAAAAATAAGGGTCTTATTATGATGGGTGACCTACCTAAATAGAAAGTATAAAGTGGTCTCATTGTTATGGGTGATCTACCAAAAGAAT